GGGGGTTCCACTGGGAGGCCCCCCCCCCACCTGGCGCTGGCGCCAGCGCCGTCGGGCAACGACGGCCACCACGACGACGACGACGACGACGACGACGACGACGACGACGACGACGACGACGACGGCCCTCCTCCTCCAGTTCGGGACCCCCCTTTGGCCCCCCTTTGGGTGGGGGGGGGGCTCGCCCCCCCCCCCAGGTTCGAACGCCGCCCCCCAAGACATGGGTGCCCCCCCCCCGCCCCATTGCGAACTCCCCCCTCTTAGCACTAATGGGGGGGCACCCCGGTTCGAACTTCTCCCCCCCTTTTGGCAGCGGGGTCCTCTCCCCGGGGGGGGGGGGGTCCTGTCGGAGTTCGGTCCCTTCCCTTGGAGCCCCCCCCCGGTTAGGAAAACCGGTGTCCTGCGGGGGTGTCCAATTCCCCAGAGGCGTTCAATGTTATTGGCCCCCCACTGTGCTGGGCCCCGCCCCCGGTTCCAACGTGTCAGGGTGTTTGTTTCCAAGCACGATTCCACGAATCAGGCGAATGTTTTCTGATTCGTTCTCTCTCTCTCTCTCTCTCTCTCTCCTTTTTAAACTCTTTCCCCTTTTCACCTATATTTGGGTATGCACGTATACGCGGCCACAAGTCTGTATATACTTACTATGGGTACGAAAATGTGTATGTGTACATACGGACACATGCCAACGTATATATGCATACGTATGTGTGTAGACGTAGATGTATGTGTATATATATATATATATGTATGTGATATAATGATATTGCGATGCACGTTTACATTGATACGTGTGTATATACAGCACTACGTGTACGATCATTATTCACACATGCGTACATGTCCCGCGATGTGTTCCCTGCACATAGTGCTTATATACGCGTTTGGCACGGCCGTCATGGTAATGTCATTTTCAACATTTGCATGTTTACATGTGCGCGCGTATTGCTATATGTGTATTCGTATAAACGTTTTACGCCATTATGAATTATAACATCCTGTACGAAATTGTATGCACGTATTACTGGTGTCAAATAAACGTGTACACACATGTAGTCTCAGAGCCTCAAATAAATGCAAATACGGGTACGATTCTAATTTGTAAAAAGGTATACATACAGAAATGCCGAACGTGCTTCATGTACATGTACAGACATCAGCTGTTTCTACACATCGATAAACCATATTCACACATACATAAGCATATGAATATGTGTATATACGTAGTCTGGGCAGCATGTCAGTGTCACTCCGGGCCGTTCGGGCGCTCCCCATGAAGGCCAGGGCTAGCTCGGTGGTGCCTCGGCCCTGGTTTCTTTGAGATATGAGTATTAAGAATGGTATCGATACTTTAACAGGTGATACTATATATACACGCATATTTACACATATATACTCATATATTCATACACCTCATGTGTGCGTAAATGTTTACATATGTTTGAAAGTGCGTGTTCTATGGTCGCTTGGAGGTTTGGAACCGACCCCCCCCCTGGATGGAGGGCGGGGGATGGTTTCGACGGGGATTTCGACCCCCCCTTCCCAGTGACGGAGGAAGGGGGGGGGGGGTTCGAACCCCGCCGCTACTTTTCCTCACTCCCTATCCTCAGGCCGTCGCCTGCGTCGGCGGCGGCTGGCGGTGGCGGCGGGGACGCGCCAGCGCCTGCGGCGGCGGGCAACGGTGGCGGGGAGCGTCGACGAAGACGACGGTGGTGGTGGTGGTGGTGGTGGGTTGTGGTGGTGGCGGTGGCGGCGGAGGTGGCTGTTGTGGTGGTGGTGTGGTGGGTTGTTGTGGTTGTGGTGGTTGTTGTGGTGGGTGGTGGTTGTGGTGGTTTGGTGGTGGTGTGGTGGTAGTTTGTGGTGGTGGTTGTGGTGGTGGTGGTTGTGGTGGTGGTGGTGGATGTTTGGTGGTGGTGTGGTGGTTTGTGGTGGTGGTGGCGGTGGTGGTGTGTTATGGAGGTGGCGGTGGTTTGTGGTGGTGGTTGTGGTGGTGGTGTGGTGGTTTGTGGTGGTTGTGGTGGGTTGGGTGCTGGTAGTGGTGGTGGTTGTGGCGGTGGTGGTGGTGGTGGTGTGGTGGTTTGTGGTGGTGGTGGTGGTAGTGGTCGTGGATTTCTGTGGTGGTGGTGATGGTGAGTTGTGGTGGTGGAGGTTGTAGTGGTGGTGGTGGTGGCTGTGGCGGGGGTGGTGGTGGTTGTGTGGAGGGTTGGTGGTGGTGGTGGCGGGTTGAGGCGATGATGGTGGTGGTAGTGGTGGTGGTGGTGGTGGTTGTGGTGGTAATCGTCGCTGCGTCCCCCCGGCGCTGGCGCTGGCGACGGCGCCAGCGCCAGTGCCAGGGGGTGGGAGGGGGGAGGGGTTTGGCCCCCCCCCCCCCTCCGTAGGGTCTGGTCATCGTCGTTGCGTCCCCGCGGGGGGGTGGTTGGGGGGGGGGGTCCGGGGGGGAAAGGAGTCCCCCTGGTTTTGATCGACGGCGCCGAATGCTGGGGGGGCTCACTCTCCGGTTCGAAACGCGCCGCCGAATGTTCCCAAGGCGAACGCCCGTGAAACGCGCTCTCTCGAATGCTCACATTTATCTAGGTCGTAGTGACGCATGCATATTCATGTCAGGTTTATTTACACACTTATGTTAATATATTTAGCCCCGTGATCTCTGATGTATGAATGTATAGAATGGAAGTCGTGTGAATTGTAACACTAGCGGCCCCAAGAGCACCCAAGAGGGACCAACATATAACAGTGATGTTCCGGGCTCTCCCGCGCAAGAAGTTTCCAATGTCGTTGTCAGGTCACCGAGAAGCACCCAGGTGGCCTCCAGTGGGCCCCAAGAGGCATCCAAGAGAGGCTGAGGAGGCCCCCGACAGGTCCTAAGTGGCATTCCAAATAAAGCCCAGAACGTCACTAGTAAGCTTCCAGTCCACAGCCCAAGCAATTCGGACCAGTCTCTTCAATCCTCGATCCCCGAACCTTCTTCATCGACGACCTCAGAAATGTTCCAAGTCCTCGATCTTGACGTCACTATTGCAGGGAACGGTAAAATGGGCGCCATTTTCATGAGGACCAGTCCCCCTGAAGTACCTCTTCGTTTTACGGGGACCAGTCCCCCTGAAGTGTCCATCAGTTTTAGGGGGACCAGCCCCTATTAAATGCCTCCCGTTCTTTCCGTCCCCTTAACATGTTTTTGTTTGTTTTTCCACCGAATTAGTTCTACAGGTCCCCAGAACATACCCATCCAGTTGATGGGCTGTCTCCATAAAGGCACCACCGTTTTATGGGGACGGGTCCCAACAAAGTCGACGCCCATACCATCAACATCATCAGCATCACCACCACCATCACCATCACCATCACCATCATCATCTTTGTCGTCGTGGTGGTCATTGGCATCTGCGTAATCGTCGTCTTCCTCATCATCACCACATGCACCATCATCATCAACATCATCATGACCACCACCACCACCACCATGATCCTCGTCACCACCATCACAATCACAACCCGCATCTTTTCAATCATCGTCATCATTCGCAGTTCCATCATCACCAACATCATCACCACTACCACCACCGTCGTCGTCGTCATTTGCCTCATCATCATCGTCATCGTCATCCCACGCTTCCTCTCTTCCACCTCGTCCATCTCTTCCCGCCTCCTCCTCCGTATTCCTCGTGCCGCCGGTTTCCTGCGCCTCCTCCTGATCCTTTCCCTCCTCTTGAGCGTGGGAGGAGGAAAGGCACAAATGCGTGGGATAACAAGGATACCAAAGGCGAGAGGGGGACTATTGGATGAGGCGTCGGGGTCCTTCAGCCCAGGCTTTTAGGAATCCCGAAAACTCCATGCCGCCCAGTATATCGATATTCCCCAAAGCATTCGTTATATTTGTTTTACAACAAATCCCAAGCTTGTTTGTTTAATGTGTACATGTGTGCATATATGACATATATATATATATATATATATATATATATATATATATATATATCAGAATTGGAATTCCCAGGGGCCCTGGAGTCCACACTCCAGGCGACCAGGGATCCCGAGAACCCTGGACCTCCATTCTGGAAACATTATTCCTGTTTCATAAGCGGTTGAACTTGTTGGATATTCTTAGTTGTTTTACATGTTCAAGGATACCGACAGAGGTATCGATTGTACGATTTCCAGGGGCCGTGGAGTGCGCGGTCCAGGCGACCAGGAATCCCGAAGACCCCAGAGCTTCCCGAATGTAAAACATTTAGATTCTTACACCTCTTATAACTCCAATCATTTTAATTAGTCACCAGGTTTTACATGTCACAAGCCAAGCTCTTCATATATTTTTCCTCTGAACGTCAAAAGTCAAAGCCCCAAAGCTTGAATCCCCAACGTCGAAAGAATTGGTTCATTCCTGAAAATTCCAGGGGCCCTGGACCCTCCAGGATGTGACGATTCGAGAATTTTCAAAATTGGCATCTCCCGCGAAATTGTTACATTTGTTGAAATGCTTCAGATTGACATTTTAAAACTTCCAGGGGCTCTGCAGTCCGCAGCCCAGGCGACCAGGACTCCCGAAAACTGCAGAGGGTGATGACACTGAGGAGGAAGGTCATAGAAGGAAGAGGGGGATGGGAAATGATGAAGAGGGATATGAGGTTGGATGCTCATTTTCCCTCCTGGTCGACCGTGCTTGTCCCCCTGGTCGATCGTGTCACAACCCTCTGTCTGGTATGTGGTTGCGGTCGCCTGTATCCTCCCTCCCCGCCCCGCCCCCCCTTCCCAGACATTTGGAGTCCTAACTTGTTCAGGACGGGACCCCCAAAAGTCCCATCTCGTTTCCCAGGGCCGTTTGATTATCCCGAGTCGTGCTTTAGCAGTCCCGGGCCCGACGGTATGACACGATGTTTTTATTTTCCATGTCGCGGCCCCAAAGGTCACGTTGCATCTCACAGCCGGGTCCTTCTGAGGAAGCCCCCCCGCCTTCTCTGACCGCCGCCGCTCTCGCAACACCGCCTTCTGCGCGCCGCCAAGGCGCCCAAGCCCAAGCCAAGGACTCTGGTGGTGGCCTGGAATCTTAGAGACTGCAGCGAGGAGGAGCTCAAACACGACCTGTACCAGATAGACTTCGAGCCGCTCGAGGTCAGCAAGGTGGAGGGGTCGCCTGAGTTCGACCAGAGTTCCTTCGTGATGTGGTTTGCGGAGGATCGGCCCTGGGGTGTTCGGACCACGTGTGCCGTAGATCCCAGGGGGGACGCAGACACACGTACATTACAATCCGCTCAAACGAAGCAAGCAACCCTTGCAGAAGCAAAAGCGCAAATATATACAGCACCCACATATTTTCGAGTCGCGATGACGACTAGGAGTTGTTCAGTGCAGCATCTGTGTATTATCAACTTTCCTGTGTTGGGCTATCGGTTTTCATAGAGCGCTGCTCGCGCGCCTCCTTCATTCCGCCTCCCTCCTGCCTCCTCCCTCTTTTTGCGTCCTGCTTCATTCATTACTATTCATGACCTGCTGTTGTTGGGTTATCGTTAAGAATGGAGCGCTGCTTAACTCGACGGGAAGCTAACTGAGGTTACGGGGGAGAGTCATGCTGTTGCCTTTTGGGAACACGTCCATCAGTGCACCCGCGCCCGATTATCCGAGCTACGATACTATATCTTGCTTGCGCGAAAAGGCTTATCTGCCCTCATCCTTACCAGCCTTTAGACTTACATGTGATAACCCAGGACGGCATCTTTGACTTGGTAGCGGGGCTGGCCGAATCAGGCTAGTTCCTGCTCTTGATTCTACTGCGCGGCGGAAAACGATGTGTTACCGGCTCTGCTAACCGTGCGCCGCCACTCCGAGACCATGTTCTTTGTGTGGCGATTGGCCAAACATTCGAGGTTCCAGAAGAGAGCTACGTGCGGCTGGCCACGAAAGCCGACAGCGTAGCAACGAGCGAATGCCAGCCTGGCATATATTGATACATATATGAATATGGATATTTATATATAAACGTACATGTACACATTGAAACATTATGATCTGCATTCGAACAACAGAAATGATTCCACGACCTGCACGCTTGGGAACATGCTGCTTGGAAATAGACCAATCTGAGTGGAGGCCGACACCAGGCCCCCAAGCAGTACACATCGCTTAACATGTGCACCATAATTAAGCATCGCACCGCTTTTCCTGGTGCGGTTATATTTTCTCTCTGTTGTGTCCGTATGGTTCGCTTTCGGAGCAGCCATCGGCTACATGCAGATATTCAAGGACGACGCAAGCACCAGGTGACAATTTAGATCTGCTCGGAGCAATATACCGTTCAGACATTGTTTTCGGGAATATCATGCGTGGCTACATGTCATAAGTGTTTGCATGACCCCGCAATAGCAAGCCGCTGCACTACAGGCTGGCGTGAGGGGGCACGGCCCGACACATCGCCATGCGACCCCCACGCGTCGTCATCACCTTCTGACCCCGTCACGTAGATCAGGTTCTTACTCTGCACCCGCTCTGAGTCTGTAGGGGACGAGCGACAAGTGACGTCAGTCGTGCACGTCTGTCGTTTTTCAAACAAGCGCAAACGAACGCACCAAGGTTCGACTCAGCCCGGCTAGAAGCACACTCGGTCGGTTTCGATATCGAAGACGCTTACTGCGAATCACCGCCGCCCCCTACCTTTTGGAATCGCCCATGTGGCAGAGCGTTGTGGCAAGAGCTCTCCCAAGCTACTGGACCATGTGTTCCCCCAGCCGGTGTGGACACCTTCGGGGAACCTTTGGGGGAGGATGGAGAAAACCAGGAGGAGGAGGAGGAGGAGGAGGAGGAGGAGGAGGAATGGGCATCTTGGGAGCCTCCTGGGAGCTTCCTGGGAGGCATCTTGGGAGCCTCGTTGGGCTTCTAAGGGGCCCTTGAGGGCTTCTCGGGGGCCTCTTCGGCAATCTTAGGGTATTCCTGGCTCGTCAGATGCCGTCACACGCCGTCCTTGGGACCTCTCTGGGCTGACTTGGGGCCCTCTTGGGGTGCTCCAGGGCCACCCTGGAGGCCATCTTGGGCATCTTGGAGGCCCCTTGGGCCGTCTTGGGGCCCTCTTGGGTCCGTCTAGGGGGTCTCTTGGGCCGTTCTGGGGCTATCGTGGAGCCCTCTTGGGCGATCTCGTGGCGATCTTTGGGGGCTCTCTGCCGTCTTGGGAAGTAGGAGGGCCGAAAAGAGGCAAATGCCAAAGTCCTGCGAAAACCTACGGGAAATCACTGATTTTCGCCTCTTCGGGCCTTCCTGGAGGCCCTCTTGGAGGCCTCTTGGGCCGTCTTGGCGACCTCTTGAGGGTCTCTTGGGCCGTTCTGGGGTCATCTTAGAGCCGTCTTGGGGCCGTCTTGATGGGATCCTGGCCCGTCTGACCCCGTCGGAAGCCGTCTTGGGGGCTCCCTTGGGCCGCCCTAGAGCCCTCTTGGGGTGCTCCAGGGCCATCTTGGAGGCCATCTTGGGCGTCTTGGAGGCCTCTAGAGCCCTCTTGGGGCCGTCGCGGGGGTCTCTTGGACCGTTCTGGGGCTATCTTGGAGGCCTCTTGGACGATCTTGGGGCGATCTTTGGGGGCTCTTGGGCCGTTTCGGGCCGTCGGAAGGCCGAAAAGAAGCAAATGCCAAAGTCCTGCGAAAACAATTGGAACATCACTGATTTTGGCCTCTTCGGGCCTCCTGCGCCGCTTCGTTTTTGGCACATCCTCGTGGGCCTCCGCCGCATCTTCGGGCCTCCTGCGCCTCTTCGGGCCTCCTGCGCCTCATCCAGCTACGTTTTGGCAAGGACTGAAGATGAGATTCATTCTGAGCTTCCTCGTTGGCTTGGTTTCCTTCGGGATCGGCCACAGTCATCGCTCATACCGTTCTACCGAGGACGAGGAGGACGACGACGAACAGCATGGCCGGAGGACTGTTGGATGCCCTCAGGAGTCTTTCCGGATATTTTTACCAACCATCCTGTGGTGTTGGGTCTTTATTTTGATGAGACATTAGCCCGCGTTTCCTTGGCCCTGCGCTGTAGCGGGCCAAAAGCCAAAAAGCCGCGGGTCCCGTAGGGGACCCCTTTCGTAACGCCTTTGTAGCGAGCCAGCAGCCCAGGCCTTCAACGGACGAAAGCGGACAGCTGCCCAGGCATCCGACTCCGACTCCTCTTCTCCTCCTCCTCCCTCCTCCCATCCCTGCCTGTGCTCTCCGACTGAAGGCCCCCGCTGTGGGGCAAACGCAACTTCACGCGCGCAATGAACGCATGCTTTCTCGTCGGTTGTCATTCGGCAGCTCCTGCATCGAATGCGACGTTCTGACGGCTTCGAAAGAGGCCCTGGGGAATGGCGGCGATATTGGAATCACATTCGCGCTTTGTTGCCAGGGTGCCGCGGCGAAAGTCCGCCGCGCTGGCCCCTTGTCTTCTTATTTTGCCCGCGAAGAAGTGGCGGCGATGCGGAGAACGTCGCTTGTGCAGCTGGCTTCGACATGGAGGGTCGATCACCGTGGCGATGCCATGGTGCTCCAAGTTCGGCTCGCGCGCTCTGCAAGTTGCTGTGGGATTCTTCTATGGGGTGGCGCCATTCAGCCACGCGTGATGAACTCATGCTCGCGCTTGTGACCCGTGCCTCTTGTGCTTCGAATCGCGCGCGCTGGGCTGCCATTGCCCGCTTGTCTTTGCCTACGCTCTCGCACTGTCAGCGCTGCTGTATATACACGTTGCCAGCGGACATGCGTGTATCCCTGTCTCCTCCTTCCCGCCTTCGCGAGGTCATAGTTGGGATTGCAGGGTCGAGTCATGCCGCATCCGTCCGGTCTCGCGCGCGTCATGCACGCGCGTCGCATTTGCATGTGTACGGTTGTAAGCCCCACTTGCGTTGAGTGTGTGTTGTGGAGGCAAGCTAGCCCCAAACATTAAACTCGAAAAGCTCTAACAATACTCTGATTAAGCTCTGGCCCAAAACTCTGTTTCATCTGTGATTGTTCGAAACCTTGATTTGACTCCTGGTCTGAACTCTGATTGAACTCTGATTCGATTCTGCCCCCAACCAGATCTAATTCAGAGTGAAATCCGAGTTCCAGACCAGAGCGGAATCAGAGCTTCAGGTAAACCAGAGAGACGAATCAGAGTTTCAGGCCAGAGCCAAGTCAGAGCTTCTGCTAAACAGGATATGAATCAGAGTTTCAGGCCAGATCCCAAACAGAGCTGCATCAGAGTACCATCGGAGTTCTGGCAGTCCAAGGCGGAGGGCGTGGGGCGCGCTGCGCAAGCGCGCTTGTCTTCCTGCAAATAAATGGGGCGCGAGAGGAATGGGACTCCCCTGGAAGTCCATTGGATTCCTTAGGCAATCCATCGGATTTCTTTCTGAGAATTTATAATTACCAGCGGCTGCAATCGGTGCGGTTACGCCCGAGTGCGGTTTGCGAATTGCTTTGTGGCGGCCTTTCTGGGGCCTGTTTGAGAGACAATGTCATAACTGTCGTCATTTCGAGCGACGTTGTCATCCTCTTCGCTTCGGCCTCGTGCTGCGGTCCTCATCCATTTTTCCTCACGCAGTGGCCAGACGCCCTGGCTTGCCCACAAGTCTGGCTTGTACCGTTTTCGTTTGCGTAGCGCATTTTTTGTGTTCTAAGAACATGTTCTTGTTTTTGGGCCACTATTCTGTTCTGGGAGCATGTCGTCGATTGCCTGTGCGAGTGCCTTGGCGGTTGGTCCCTGCTCATTTCCCAGACCCCCGACGTCGTTTTTTTGTTTTTCTCGCAACGCCGGGCCCCGGAGGTCAGGGCCCTTGCCCCGTGATTGGTTTTCTGTCCCTCATCGTTTTTGCACGGCCCCAGGGCCCGACAAAGGCCCGCAAATGGTGAACATAAGACATCATGCTCGCCCCGGGAGGGGGAGGATGGATGATGATGATGATGATGATGATGATGATGATGATGATGATGATGATGATGATGATGATGATGATGATGATGATGATTGATGATGAGATGATGATGATGATGATGATGATGATGATGATGATGATGCTGATGATGATGATGATGATGATGATGATGATGATGATGATGATGATGATGATGATGATGATGATGAGATGATGATGCTGATGCTGATGCTGATGATGCATGCTGATGATGATGATGAGATGTGATGATGATGATGATGATGATGCGATGATGATGATGATATGCTGATGATTGATGATGATGAA